GTGAGTGATACCTATCTGTTTACACCTGGGGTGAAAAGGAATAGAGTTCTCTCAAGCAGCCTTTTGCATAAGACACAAAAAAAACTTCCATGGCAATCGTAAACAGATATGGTGATAAGGGGTCCCCTTGACGAAGCCCCTTGCCACCCGAGAAGTAACCACAGAGACCACCATTAAAAGAAGCACTGAATTTGAGAGTAGTGACACAGATTTGAACAAGCTCAATATAGCTATCAGGAAACCCCATGGCCCTCATAACTTGAAACAGAAATCGTAGTCAACAGAGTCGAAGGCTTTCATAATATCAATCTTCACCATGCAAAGAGGAGTAATTGAACTCTTGTGATATATAATCCTTAACTAACTCAGAAGCCATTAGGATATTATCACTAATAAGACGACCCTTCACAAAAGCAGACTGAAAAGGGCTAATCACCTTAGGTAAAAAAGCTGCTAACCTATTAGCTAACAGCTTGGATATACCCTTATACAAAACATTACAGCAAGTAGGGGTGGGCATTGGGTGGGTCGGGTGGATTTTGACCATAAAATGCACCCACCCGCGCTTAAACGGATTGATAATTTTTAACCCACCACCCACCCACGTTTAGTCTCGGGTTGGGTCGGGCGGATGGTGGATGATGCGGGTGGGTTTGTGGGTTCACCCACATCACAATGTATATAATATAAAGGAGTCAACTTGACATGATAATAGGTGAAGAGAATCATCGAGGGAAACAAGAAATTGAAATAGGGCGAAAAATGTCGAATTAGTTCTTAAATTGGATAGAAATTCTATTATGAAAGAGTTTTCTACAGATTGAGACGATTATTAGGTGCAAGGAACTAAGGAAAATAATTTCACAAAGGAAAGAGCGGTGATCTAGGCACAAGAATTAGAGGAAAAAATAAAGGGAAGAAGAGGGAATCTCTATTTGGAAGGTTGGCTTTGAGGTTCAAACTCCAGGAGCAGTCCGAGTTTATATCTAACGTCTCCACTCTCCTCTCTCTAGCGCCAACGACTTTGATCTTTTTGCTGTTGGGTTGAGCGGGTCACCCGCACACTCACCCACAACCCACCCACCACCCGACGGATGGCTCCCAGCGCAACTCGTCACCCACCCACAGACCCACCCACTTAACAAAATTCGGGTCAAATGCGGGTGGGTCGGCCCAAATCCGCGGATGATCCGCCCGCATGCCCAGCCCTAACAGCAAGCAATAGGTCTAAAATCCTTCATTCTCTGCACATTAGAAATCTTAGGAACTAATGATATTAGTAGGAGAGCAAGAAGAAGAAAAGAGGCGAGAGGATAGTGGAGTTTACCTCCTGTGGCAAAGACTTGGACTGAAAAAACCACAAGACAGCATCCTCCACAACACGACCCACCACTCCCCACTCAGCCTTATAAAAATCAGTAGGGAAACCATCTGGTCCAGTTGCTTTATCTGGTGCCATAGAACAAAAAACAGACTTGATCTCCTCTCTAGTAACTTCATTGCACAAGATACAAGAATCCTCAGGACTCAGTTTATGCATAAGGAGATCAGTGTAAAACTCAAGAGGCCGCTCTGCAACTTCTAGGTTAGAAGAACCAAATAGACCTCTATAAAAAGATACAGCCAATTCCCCCATTTGCTCAACATCATCCACAACAACCCCTGCATCAGAAAGCCGTCGATCTATAGTCTGTTTTCTAGTTCTAGTCTTCACATAATTGTGAAAATAGGCAGTATTAAAATCACCTTCAACCACACACTGCACTTTCGACTTTTGTCAATAGAAACTCTCCTCCGCCTTCTGCATTTGATAGCAAGAAAGAGCCAATTCTTTTTCCATACTAGCATTCTCAGGAGAGGGATTCAACAGAATATACTGCTGAGTTGCAGCAAAAAGCTCCTCCGCCTCCCTAGTCCTAGCCGAAATGTCAGAGTACTGAGTGTGATCGAGGGTAATGAGTCACTTCTTCAAGTTCTTCAATCTCATAGACAAGCAGATAAAAAGGATCACCCCCCTTAGCCAAAAATTCCCAAGCATTCTTCGAAATCCCCTCAAATTGAGGATGGGATCTCCAAAATTTGAAGTACTTGAATGGATTTGGTAAACTCTTAACCATACAAACATAGGTTAAGAGAAGACCACAGTGATCTGAAACCCCAGGACTTATTGTTCTTCCTGAGCTAGATGAGAGCATATCCAACCAAGGACCATTAACTAACACTCTGTCAATACGCCTGGCTATAGGGTTATCTGTTTGACGATTCCACCAGGTGTACCATGATCCATTGATCTTATGATCAACCAACTGCATACGCTTTATCCACCACCTGAAGTCCAACATACTTTGAGTCACATCAACCACATTCGAAGCCTCACCTACCTCTGCAATGGCATTAAAGTCCCCCTTTACCACCCAGGGACTAGAAACAGTTTTACAGACCTCCAACTCTTGGTATAACCTTAGCCGATCTACTGGCTTATTAGGGCTATAGACTGCAGTTAGACTGCATTTAGAAACAACAGACTTTCCAACTACTTTTGAACCAGACTGTTGTTAGCAACCAACGCATCAATATCTTCCACTTCCACAGACTTTCATACCTTTGGAGCAACTTCCTCTTCATTCACTTTTGTTCCACTAGTGGAAGCTACTGCTTCACCCATATCTAAACCTTTTGGAAACAATCTGAACCCCCAAGAAGAGCTCTCACCCACCGTAAGAATAGCAGTAAGTGGAGAGTCAGGAGTAATCACAGACAGACCCGAAGCAACCCTCACTTGAGAATCCTTTACCACTTAGTCAGCATTAGTAGCTTGAGCAACAACACAATCAACTCCCTGCCCAATTTCATGCCCATATATAGACCTGACACTGGGAGCAGCGAGGAGGAACACGCAAATATTCCATAGAAAGGGTCAAAACTGCTTCTCCTTCTGGTCGGATATGAATTGTATCCTGAAACCCAGCATCCATCCTCATATCAACACAAACCTTAGCCACCCCCACATTCGTGCCATTCCTCGTAGCCTGATCCATCCACAGGGGAACACCCAAAACACTAGAAATACGACTAAGCCCATCAGAAGAGTGGTACTCCAACGGAATACCTCTTATCCGAACCCAAATCGGAAGCGAGACCAGCTTCATATCCAGCGGCTGAATCCCAGGAGTCCATCGACGAAAGAACACTGAAATGTTCTGGCAGTGCCAAGGCCCTCCCTCAAAAACCCAGGTGCTCGTCTCAGAATTTGGAAATTGAAACAGAAACAAGGAATTATCGAAGTGAGAAACCTGAATCGAACCATCTCTTCCCCACATTCGATTAGCCTGAATCGCCTGAAGAGACGCCGGATCTGCAATGAATTACCCCACCAACGCATCTCTCCATTGCACCGCCCCAACTTTTCGAAGAGCCCTAGGGAGGAGAAGTGCCCCAGCAGACACCTCAGGTTGAACGAAGCGAAGCCTGCTTCCCTCATCAACCCCAAACAATTGAGCCCAATTGTTTGGCCCCCCAGCCCCGGTCGGAGCGGCTATAAGAATCGTCGGAGAAAACAATAAAGGAGAGAGAGGTCAGAGCGAAGCACTTGATATATATGTTTTGTTTCTCAAGTAAGAGAAACAAATATTGACTAAAGCTTATGGTAATGTGTTTCCTATTTATGCTACTCTTTTTCATACAAACTTTTTTTTGTTATGTCAATTTTCTTTCCAACCATAAACAACTAAGTGACCGCATCATTAAATTGACAGGTCATGAATGGTTATTCACGATTTTTATAAATTATAATCTTTAAGAATACAATGTTTGGTCATTAAATAAAGGTTATAAGAATTTCAAATTTAAAAAATTATTTTGATTGCACCATCATGTCGTATGAACTTAAGAATTTCAAATAATCATAAATGTCTAGAATACATATCGTAAATATGTTGTATCCAAATTACATTCTGATCAATAAGCCGGAGACCAAACTAGTAGATAAAAAGGGAACGTGTATGTTGCGTTGTCCCCATATATGAAAGAAACCATCGAGGACTAGAGTTCGCCTGCATGGTAGAGTATACGTACGTAGCTGGAAATTGTATATGCTAGCTACAGTACGTACTTTGCTCGAAATGAAATAATGTTCTTCTTTCGAAGTCTGGAGTTGGGGAAGAATCTTATGCACGGTCGATCTGACTCAACTTTATGTATATTGGGGTTTCCGCAGGTGGCGGGTGGGAGTATGATGAGGGTTAATTAGCTGTTGATAGAAGACTAAATGATTAATTAAGTGAGTTCCTCCTTCCCAGGTGAATTAACCAAGGTTGAAGAAGGTGCTAGGTGCGAGGCAAGCGTTGGAAAATTTCCTAGCACCTAGTTCATGTAGTCGTTAGAAGCAAAAATAGCAATGTGTATTGACATATCACTTAATAACAAGGAAAATTGCTTACAAATTCATACAATGATATCTAAATAGCTCACAAAGTTATTGAGTTAAATTGAAAAGATTGAGTTTGTAGATGATGCTAGTTACAATTTCGACATTCATTTTCTAAATCCATCTAATTATGTATTGGAAACACCTAGGTGTCACCTTACTCTGTCGATGTACTCTAGATATCTAACTAGCCGGCCGCGGATCTCTTATACGAGGCGTTGTGGTGTTGCCTACGAGTCCCAAGACTTAGAAAGAAAAAAAAAAGACTTTGATTGAGCTTTCACCATGTCTTGTTAGTAGCTAGGTCGAACACAAAAGTAGCACGTAGCTACGTAGGTATTTTACAATGTGTGGGAATCTGCATTGAAGTTCCCTTGCTAGTGTCCTTGTCAAATTCCACAACAAAAAAGGAAAAAAGGAATGAAGAAGCTAGCTAGCTAGCTTGTTTGTCTTACACGCCAAGTATGTTACGTGTTGGAGCATACATATATATATACATAACACTATATATGTATGCCCTAATTAAGCTATTCGTTAGTTCCAAACTAGTCTCTTTTATTATTTCTGGGGGTTTGGACGTTTTGTCTCTTAAGCTAGGAAAAAAGAAGAATCATCGTGATGTCGAGCAGGTTCGCATTGGCCGTCGGTTGCTTCCTGGGTGCCGCCGGCCTCACCCTCCTTCACCATTCCAAACGCGCCAAGAAGGAAGCCGAGTTTCTTACTTCCGCCACAAGGCTCGCCCTCAAAGAACTAGGTACGTACGTGTACCCTGACGCGAGAAACCCTAACCCTAGATCAGTAATATATATATACTTGATCGATTTCGACGTTGCATGCATGATGGCCAGGGAAGCTTTTCGACGACGACAATCGAGAGAGAGACCCGCCTGCTCTTGTTGCTGTCTCGGGAAGAGTTGGGTCCTCGGAGCCGATCGCTTGCAAGATCAGCGGCCTCAAAGGTGTTTTGGTGGAAGAAAAGGTACGTCAAAAAACTCTCTTTCCCGATCTCTTTGTTTTCTACGTAAACATAACCAAATGATTGCATGCATGCGTTTCTCTGTTTGTGTGTCTTTAGGAGGAGCTAGAGTTCGAAAGGAAGCATCCTGTTTATGGGTGTTGGAGTCGGGATTCTGCCCTAACGAACTTGAAGACCAAAGAGGTTCCCTGGTATCTGGTGAGTTGGCTCTAGCTAGACGCAGACTTTTTGGTGCTCTAGTTTTCGTCAGATCTCTTTATTCAAAGTCAGAAAATCAGTTGAATTCAATAACTTCGGATTTTTGCGGGGTTCGATATAAGTTAATTAGTTGATTTTTCCCACGTGCAGGATGATGGAACCGGTCAGCTTGTGTATGTTCGGGGAGCCCGTGAAGCCTGTCGTTTCAGCTTTGCTGTGAAGAGGGAAGTTTTTGAGGAGTGCCCCAAAACACCAACTGAACATAAATTCCTCAAGGTTTGTACTTTTTTTTTGTTTTTTGGGTATGTTCTTAATTAGGCATAGGTGTTTGACTCATGAATACATGATGAATTATTGTAGCTTTTTGGAGTGAAGCGAACTGAGAGCCTGATCCCAACTGGTACCTCCTTGACTGTCGTTGGCGAGGTTCGTATTCTCTCTCGCGACTTCCTTTTGTTGTCGAGTGAGGTTTATCGTCGTACAGTTTAAGCAATTCCATCGAACTGTTAATAATAGCGTGTCATGTTTTGTTTTTGTCCCCCCGTATGACCAAACAACTTTTTCATAACTTGTAACGTGCATGTGTCCTTCATAAAGGATTAATTGATCTCCATTATATTTGTGGGGTTATTATGCGTGTGATTGAAGGCTGTAAGAGATGAAAGTGGGAGAGTTTGGGTTCAGCCACCACCAGAGGAGGAAGCGCCATTTTATGTCTTTCAAATGACCATGGATGAACTTGTTGCCTATCTGAAACAGAATGGAAGGTACGTACGAGTCGGTTATTTGCTTTTCGATCATATAAGTTAAAGTTAGTGAGATGAACCCTACAAAACGTATTCGTTATTTTCCCAAAAAGAAGAGGGAATAATGCTCTGATCTAATGGATTGTGAAACCTTTTTTTTTTTTTTTTTTTGGCAGCCTCTTCAAGGATTTCTCCGAGGTTTTGATGATATCTGTTGGTTTTGTGGTTGTGTTCGGGTGGATGTGCTGAGGGAGGAGAACTTCCCAGAGGAGATGAATGAATTGAGAAACAAAAATTTGCAGCAATTTTGGAGGATCGCGCGTATTCGACTCTTACGATTTCTTTTATGTGTATTTAGTATTTACGCATACTAGTTATGGATTCGGTCCATTTTGTCGGATAAATTTTGTTTTATTTACTAGTTATGTGGGTTAGGAATTTGGACCATTTATCGGATGAATATTGTTTGTTCCATGATTTTACATCAGTCAAATTCATGACACTAATTGCCCACGAGAATTTTTCAAGTGTTACTTTCATCGTTCTTTCCGATGTGTAGTATAAAGATGAGTAAGGCAATCGGTAAAAGTCGTCGAAGCTTAGTTTATGATGTTTTGTAAGAATAGAGCTGGACGCCATTGTCGATTTCGCACGAGGAGAAGGCTATCTCTAACAGCGAGTAGGTTGGGAGATAAGAATATCTGAGATTCCCGGGTGCTGGAAACCAACGAAGAGAAGAAGTACAGTATCATTTGCTGCCATAATTAAGCACGACACTAGAAGTGCAGCCAATGGAATGACGAAAAGACAACATCAAGGTTCAGCTTGAGACGACCACTAAGGATTGCATGGCAGGGGAAAAGTGCGACGAAGGTTGAGTATCTTTTAAGACTACTGAACTATTCGATTTTCCAATTCTCTAGAGGAAACAAACTGTTGAGACAAGATATTTCATTGGTATGAAATTGTATGCTCTAGTTCAAGTTGCACGTATTTATTTTTGGGCTAGGTCGACGTGAGAAATTTTACAATGCTATATAGTATTGGTGCTATAGGTTTTTGCCTTTATGGTACAACTTAAAATTGTACATTTACATTATGGTACAACTTTAGATTGTACCTATACTTTTTATACAAATTCTTTTATGGTACAACTTGAACTTGTACCTTTATGTGATGGTACAACTTCAAGTTGTAAAGTTGTACCATAACATAATGGTATAAATTGCTTTATGGTACAACCTAAACTTATACATTTAATGTTGTGGTACAACTTTGAGTTGTACATTAAAGCACCAATGCTATATAGCATAGTATCACCGCTGTGGACGTACACTTAAATGCAAAAGTTCTGATCTTTGTATTTTTAATATAGTACTTGGATTGCATCGTAACAATTTTTTTTTATCAAGACAAGCACTACAAACTTCGTGTCCTCCACTCAACAATTATCTTGATCCGCTGCATCTTGGTTCGATAGGCAATTGGACACAAGGATTTACCGTATGCAAATCACTTTTTGATCAGCAAGACGGATGCGAATCTCTCTTGACCTGCCAGACAGATTACCAGGCACGTATCTCTTTTGATCTGCCAGAGAAACTCATATCTCAAAATGTCAAGGTCACAAAATGAGGTTCACTAAACTAACGTTTATAGATATCGTCATATCCAAACTCTGAGACCAAACTCTGATACCACTTATTAAGACCGGAAATTCCATTATTATTATATTATTTACTTTGAACGAAACTCACACGATTTTGCTTTTGTATTCCTTCTCAAATAGTTCGTACGAATGGAATTTGGTGAACACTTATGTTAAGGGTTGTGTACTACAACCCAAAAGATATTGAGAATGAGGTCTGGGTTATTCATAGAGTAGAAAGAAAAAAAGCGATGCCACCAAATATGAAAATATTCTCTCAGTTATTTGAAATGATCCTTATACATAAACGTTGTTAGTTTTGAACTAATTATTGCAAATTGTAATGAGACAACACCTAATATGGAATGGTTACGGTCACAATCTCCTTAGGTAGGACTGGTTATTTAGTTCGAGTTTTTTGGTTTTACTCGAAACCGGACCGTATAATCCGGTCCGAGATTGGACCTGGACCGAATAACAAATTAATAATCCAATCTAATCTTCGGGTCTAGATTTGAGATAAAAACCGTTTGGGACCGGACAGAAAATCGGATAAAGACCGAATAAGAGAGCCCAATACCCAAAATTTAACCTCCTCACTCTTTCCGGCCTTAGGCCACTCAAATTCCTCCCTCATGATACTCAAATCCCCCTCAGGACACTCAAATCCCCACAAGCTCAATCTAAAATCACGACCGAATTGGGACCGGACTGGATCAAGACCGGACTGTATCCAATCCAATCTTTGGTCCTTATATTCTCGAAAAGACCGAACCGGATCAATTCGGGACAATTTAACCGGACCGGACCGTATAGCCACCCCTATCCTTAGGAGTTGTGAGATTAACAACCCACTTTGTAACCATATGATTCATTCTCTCTCTTGTCTTTTTTTTTTTCAAATCGATGGTTAAGATTAAACGAATAGTATTTTTGGAAGTGAAAAAACTTATCACGCTCAATCATTTTCCATTCCATATAAATAAATAAATAACCCTAACTCCTATCTCTCTCTCCTCCCTCTCCCTTGCAAACGACACCTCCCTCCGTCACCTGCCGCGCCCTTGACCGCCGCCGGCGCAGCCATCCCGCGGCCCCACGCCTCCCTCCACCCCTGTCACGCGCCTCCACAGCCGCCGCATCCGCAACCGTTCCGTGACCTTCCTCCGCCTCCCTCCACCTCTGTCGCTGTCAGCTCTCTCCCACCGCCCTCCTCTGCCGCCGCCCTCATCCACTGCCGCCGCCCTCGCCTCCTCTTCTTGCCTCTTCTGGCGAGTCCCTCTGCCACTACTCTTTCTCTCCTTCCCTTCGTTTTTCAGATATGTGATTTCTGAATTTTCATATATGATTTTTTTCTAGTGGTAATGATTTTCATATGGTAGATTATAGTGGTACGCTGTACTGGTAGCGTATCACTCGGAAAAAATCACTACCACTAACCTAAAGGACTGTACATTTTTACAGGTTACCGGAGGGAGTTTGCAGGAAAGATTTCGTCGGAGAAAATATCTGTTGGTCTGAGCGAAGTGGCTACTAAAAAGGGAAGAAAGAGATATAAATGTATTTAAAAAACATGTATTTAATATGGGTTAATTGTGTAATTAATACAAAATAAATAATTAATATTTTTTTGTCATACCCAAAATGCCCTTGGTTGTAAATCTCACAACCCCTAGGAGAAGTGAGAGTATCCCGCCCACACCTAATGGCTTATGCAGCGAGAGAAGATATTTGTGTACATTAGTAAAGCCGATAATCATTAAGATGGAGATTTGTTTGTGTGGCACGATTAAGAAGGAGAATAGTGATAGCAAACGCGAGGCGGGCACCTCAATATCTATATCCGTCTTGTATTAAGCGTTGGTCAAGTTGGTAATATCTGTGGGGTACAGGGCAGGATGGGACAACCAATTCTTATATGTTATTTGAAAAATCAACGTTGATGTATAACTCTTTTACAAGAAGATATAGAGAACACTTCGTAAAATGAATGAGATATAGTAGAAGGAATAATTGAGTCTAAATAGTTGATTGATATAGTCTTAAAATTTCTTTAGGATGAGAATATGATTTTAAAAAGGTCAAAAATGAAAAAAATACATATAGATATTGATGCAAATCATTATAAAACGAGTCTAAGCGGATCATGTCAAAAGCAATACCCACATCATGTCTGATACTGCTACATAATCTCATCCCAAATAAGTGAAGACAAATTGGGTAGCATGAATCAAGTTAAAAATTGTCACTACCAAATACCAATAGAGAATTCAATCTAAAGTTTAAACATGAAGTTTGAGAACAACTTTCCTCCGCTAGACGCTAGCCCCCAACTTGATCTGGGCCTTTTTGTGATCCAATCAATAGTATACCCTTGGGCCCGGATCCAATCACTTTCCTCATTAAGCCTTGGACCCACCAAATTTGTTAACTAGCGAGCTATCTACCTATCCAATCCAACCCGGAACTTTGGATAAGAATCCAATTTCATGAATCATCATTTGTGCCTTTCACTTGGAGGGTGGTAATTTTCCTCAAAATGAGGTAAAGTGGTAAACCCATTAATTATGATAGAGTATGGTGAAGGGGGGTTTGAGATTTTATAGATGAGTTTGGGTAGAATATGGGCATTGTTTTCATATTTTAAATGTGTATTGGATGGCTAGGGATGCCCATTTATTTTAGGTTGGTTTAACTACACAAAAATCGACATATTTGTAAAACTTAAAAAGTCTAGGTATCAAAATGTAAGCCACACAATTTTTAGGTACTAGAATGTAATTTTTCATCTATATTTCGTGGACCTATATGAAAAAATATTTAATTTAGGTACAAAATCGTAAAATCTTGAAAGTTTAAGTACCAAATTATAATCAAATTCATGGATTAAAAATCCAACTAAATGAATCTGAATATAAACTTATCAAACACTATCTATATATCTTGTATTTGGTTTTCATATCCAACTCAATTTGGTTGGTAAGTTTTTGTTTTTATTTTTATTTTTTATAAGTTAATGTCTATCAGTCTATGGTTTGTACAAAATTGTTATCATAAGATAGCAACCACATTACCACAACAGCAAAATCCAGCCATCCATTGGTCGTAGCGAACCATAAGCGAATAAGGAAGTAGTCTAACAACAATGCTCATTGTCTGCGGATTCATGGAGCTCAAGTTCGATCTACAGAAGAAGCATGCGTCCATTAATGATATCTTTGGTGAAATGGGGTGTTTTAGTTTTGTAGTGACGAATCGAATTGTAGCATACAAAGTGTGATGGGATTTGTTAGTGATCGAGTTGTAGAACGCAAAGTATGGTCATTCTCCCCTCGAAGATCAGGCTAGTAATGGACGTCGGTTCCAGCCTCTTAAGTAACCTTTTTCCGGCCGGTTGAGTCGACAGCCCAAAATTGCAACACCAATCACGGCATAATTTTACGGTAAAAATAAAAGACTTCAATAGAAAACTAGTTTCGCCATAACAATGTCATCGACTGCTAGTAATGGAATTGGAATCGTCAATCGTTTCTTGAAGAAGCGCCATGCATATGGGTGAATTATTAGTGGACCATAAATACATAATAATGCATGCATACTTCATCTTCATGCTTGATGCTTCCTTATCTACAAATGGGCCATCAACTTTTGTTGGCTATCGTTCCATAATTAGTTTTTTTTTCCCTATATATATTACAAATGAGCCATCAAGTCCATTCTATTTTTTTTTAACGTATTAAAAATTTAGTTTCTTTAGAACGTCATTATTATACATGTAATCGACTCTTGTCAGAGATAGACAACAATTCTATATACTCCATTTTGAGTTACTTTATATCGATCTCATTCACCCGCTCGATTAAATATATAATAGAACTTCATCCATATCACACAAATTCATTATTGGTAAGTTTTCTAAGTTGAATCGGACCGTTATTCTCTAATTAGTTTGTATGCATATAGCTCAACTCTCATCTTTCGTAGTATTACTTGACACTCTATCGGAGTTTCATCTAGGGCACAACGATGTGGTTTATTATCGTGCACATTAGTTTATATGTTTTCTAAGCTAGGTTTTCAAGTAACTATATGTAATTACTTGTCCAATTGGTTTCTATACGTGCATATCATGATTTGTTGGGAATTCCAACACACCGGAATCTATTGATATATGTTCGGTTACGTAGCTGGTTTAATTCCTAGCCGTTGGGTGTTGAATATGTATAGTGCTGCCGAGTTAGCCGATTAAGCGGGAGAACAGCTTGCCATGCGGCCCATGCCAGTTGCGACTGATCTTTCGGGTCGGTTCCTCCCCCGCCACCCGACAGCCCAACTTGGCCGGCTGGGCCCAATTCAAGATCTTAATTGGTACTTTTACTTTTAAGCGGGTCGTCAACATCATTACTTTTGGGCCCAGCAATGAAGCACTCGGCCCTATTTGTTTCCCTATCTGTGATTGGCCATTCCAACTAATCCTGCATGCAGATATTTGTTAAGCAAAAGGAAAATTGTGAGATATTTGTGTTGTAACTCATCAGATATTTGTCGTCACATCTAGATATGTAGCTCATACGAAAAAAGAGAAAAAGGGAATTGAAGGGTCCATTAATTTTGTACGTATATATATACAATAATACAAATAAAGCACGTTAGCCATCCCTCTACCTTTCAAAATACTTTATTATTATATTTTATTTTCTCTCTATTATGCGCTAATAAGTAAGTAATAATTGATCCCTTATCCCTTTCCTATAAATTGGGAGCTTTCGTTACCCTTATCCTTCATCATCAGTTCATCACTACAACCAAAAATCCACCACATATCTCCCCACAAAAGCCCAACAACAAAGCCCAAGCCCAATCCAATGGCAGCCTCCTCAACCGCCGCTATCCTCGCCGCCGCCGTAGTAGCAGTCATCTCACTACTGCTCGCCTCCACGTCATCAGCCTCCAGCAGATCCTTCTCCGCCGCCGCCGACGGCGCAGCCACCAACACGGAGTTCATCCGCACGTCCTGCAGCGCCACCGCGTACCCTCAGCTCTGCTACAGCTCCCTCGCCGTCCACGCCACCAAAATCCAGACCAGCGCCAAGCTCCTCGCCACCGCCGCCCTCGACGTCAGCCTGGCGTCGGCGAGGTCCACCTCCGCCGCCATGGCCAGGCTCCAGCAGTCCCAAGGCCTCAGCCCCAGGGAGACGGCGGCGATGCGCGACTGCTTGGAGGAGCTCGGGGACTCCGTCGACCTGATCCGCCAGTCCATCGACGAGATGGCGGCGGCGAACAAAGGCGGCGCCGCCGGTTTCGGGATGATGATCAGCGACGTGCAGACGTGGGTCAGCGCGGCGTTGACGGACGAGAGCACGTGCACCGACGGGTTCGCCGGGAAGGCCATGGCCGCCGGGGAGATGAGGACGGTGGTGGGAGGGAAGATTGAGACGATTGCTCACCTCACCAGCAACGCCTTGGCGCTCATCAACGCTTATGCTACTCTTCACCATTAGAATATTGGGTTGTGCTTTCATAGTTATTTCGTTTGCGTTAGTTATTTGTTGTTGTGAGATAGATGTTGATTAGTAATTAAGTGAAGAAATTATGGTGTTATCCTAATTAGTTGGATATTTAATTGCATGAATTGAATTAGATTGGTGGATTGAATTATAAATTGTCATTTCTAATCGTAACAAAAACAATGTCCACTTACAAATACACCACAACCATTATAATGATTGCATGATCTCATGAGACGAGAACTTAATTGTACAGTGAGAGAAAGAATGTTTAGTGGGCATCACACTATAATAATCGGTTCAAGTGAATGATTAAGCTGATGATAAATGGAGATGTTGTTTTTGTGGCATGATTAAGATGAAGAATTCAATCTAATTAAACGTGTAGCTCAAGAACAATCAAATATTGATCAGTAGTACCTCTAGATGTGGTAATTAATATCCAAATTCATGAATTAAATCCAATTAATTAATCCAATCTATTTGATCCAAATTCAATTGGATTCGTGAATTCATGGATTGATTCAAATAAAAAATTATAGTTTAGTACATATACTTTTATAGTTTACATTTTGGCACCAACATTATGACATTTTAGCCCCAAAAATTGTCAAAATTTACATAATAGTCAAACTCTTGAATGTGATTCGGATTCATGATCAATCCAAAATCCATTTGATTCAATCTACCAATTTATTTGATCCACATCCAATCCATTTGCCACTCCTCAACCTGATATTGGCCTTTCTGGTGTTCCAGTCAATGGTACGTTTGGGCCAGGATCCCTGAACCCACCAATTTTGTTCTGTTTCCAAGTAATTTCCGATATTTATTCATTAACTTAATATTATATATTTCGACAAAAAAAATCTCGTATTCAAAATCCTCACAATCAACTATATAAATGCTAGTTTCTTTCTTAACAAAGTCACCACCTGATCTAATCTTTAGAGATGGGGGCGAGTGAAGCAAGGAACTGGCAGCAATAGTAGGAACATGCATGCATGGAGTGAATTATTAATTAGTGTATACCGTAATAATAATGCATATGCTTCCTTATCCACATGATACGGCCACCAACTTTTGTTTGCCAATTGCCATTGTTACATAATTAATATTTTTAGGGTTAGTTTTCTTATTTAGGTTTTCGTATAGTGATCAATGTGACCCAATTCAAACTTTGCCCAGTTACCACTGATATTTCGTGTATCCGTCCCTCCCCCATCCGCTACCCGAACTTGGCCGGCTTCCAAGATCTTAATTACTCCACTTTTAATATCATGTATGTAATTAAGTAACTTGATTAGTACTCCTCAGGGTGATTAAGGCCTCGTCGACGTCATTTAGGACCCAGCGAGCTGATTCTGAACAACCACCTCCTAGCTATTTGTTTCCAACTTCAGATGAAGAAGATATCTATGACTCCTCTTTCCAACTAATAATACATGCAGATATTTATTATGCAAAAGGGGAATTTCAAGATATTTTGTGAATCTCGACACATTCACACTGCTTAATTTATAAGTACACGGAGATATATATACTTCTGGTCCGGCAGGACCTACAAGTACAACCCTCTCCTTTTTTATTTATTGTTATACTTATCGCCGTAACCAAATAGCTCTATTAATTCGATATTATCCGTTTTGATCCAAATCCGCACGAATTTATTTTTGGGTATCATCCTAACTATCCCCTCTGCCTCCAAAATTAGATTTTATTTCTCGTTCCTGTCCCATCTCTAATATCTCTATTATTATGCGCTAATAATTTACCCCAAAATCATCCAATACCAAATCCACCACGCCTCTCTCACAAGCCCATAAACAAAGCCCAACCCAATGGCAGCTTCAGCGCGCACTTCGAGATGATGATAAGCGACGTGCAGACGTGGGTCAGCGCCGCGCTGACGGAGGAGAGCACGTGCAACGACGGGTTCGTCGGGAAAAGCATGGCCGCCGGAGAGATGAAGACGGTGGTGAGAGGGGAAATTGAGACGATTGCTCATCTCACCAGCAACGCCTTGGCTCTCATCAACGCCTATGCTACTCACCATCTGTAAAATAGAGTGAAACGCGGAAGCACAACACAACGATATACGTGGTTTCCCCGTTCAGAAAGAACGAGACTACTCCACGGTGAGCCGAAGCTCGAGTCAATCTTATTAGCCGCAGCTTATGTGCTGTATACAGCTCTCACTCTCACAAAACCTAGCCGCACCACTTCCCCCTTTTATACTCAACGTGAGCATTAGGGTTAGCATGCACAAATACCAAATGGTCCTCCAAAATAATAATATGTACAAAACTATCACACATTTCTACACTCCCCCTCAAGCTGGTGCGTGTAGATCACGAATGCCCAGCTTGGACATCAATGTGTGAAATTGCTGAGTTCCCAATCTTCTCTGGCCTTATCTCCTGCGATATCACGCACTCCCGAACAAAATAGCAGTCCATTTCAACATGTGTTGGTCCTTTCGTGAAATACTGGGTTCGCTGCAATGTGAAGTGCAGCTTGGTTATCACAGTAAAGCAACGTAGGACCCTATTGGGTAAACCCCAGCTCTTCAAGAAGAAATCGCAGCCACAACACCTCACTGACTGTGCTCGCCATCGATCGGTACTCAGCCTCAGCTGAAGAGCGCGACACAACCTTCTGCTTCTTCGTTCTCCACGAAACCGGCGCTCCGCCAAGTTCGATATAGTAACCGGTAGTAGATCTCCTGGTCATTTGACACCCTGCCCAATCCGCATCGCAGTAGGCTCTTAACTCCAATCGTCCAGATGACGGGAAAAATAGTCCTTGACCGGGGGACGTCTTCAAGTAGCGCAAGACTCGCTCTGCCGCTGCTACGTGCTCCTGCCTTGGAAAACCAACAAACTGAGACAGTATATTCACAGCATATGAAATGTCAGGTCGTGTTACCGTTAGATATAGAAGACGACCGACTAGCCTTCTGTAGCCGCTGGCATCGTCGGCTGCTTGATCACTCAGCCTTGTCAAACCATGATTTTGCTCTATGGGAAAGCTGCTCGGACGAGCTCCAGTGAGACCCGCATCATTGAGAATGTCCAGGGTGTATTTTCTTTGGTTAAGAACAATCCCATCAGCCACTCTTGCCACCTCAATGCCGAGAAAATATTTCAGATTCCCCAAGTCCTTGATGCTAAATCTCACGTCAAGGAATTTCTTCACCTTTTGAATGAACTCTGTATTGTTGCCAGTGAGGATTACGTCGTCAACATATATTAAGGCTGTCACAAATACATTACCCTGTCTGTAGATCAACAAGGAATGATCTGCCCGTGAGGGCTTAAAACCCAACTCAGAAAGAGATTGCGTAAACTTTTGGTACCAATTTCGTGACGTCTGCTTCAATCCGTAGAGTGACTTTCTTAATCTGCATACACGATTATCCCCTGGCTTTGCAAACCCTTGCGGTATTTGCATATATACTTCCTCTTCCAAGTCGCCGTGCAGAAAAGCATTGTTCACATCTAGCTGATGGAGATCCCAGCCTTGTTTAACTGCCAATGCTAGGAGAACACGCACCGTGACCACTTTAGCAACTGGTGCGAATGTGTCGTGGAAGTCGACACCTTCGAGTTGAGTGAACCCTTTTGCCACGAGGCGTGCCTTGTACCGCTCAACAGTTCCATCTGCTTTATACTTTATTTTGTAAACCCACTTAGCTCCTATTGCCCTCATGCCTTCTGGTAGCGTCTCCAAGGTCCACGTACCATTTGCCACTAACGCATCGATCTCCCTCTGCATGGCTTCTCTCCAGCATGCATGCTTAATGGCCTCAGCAAACGTTTTAGGCTCTGTGATCTTGCTGATGGCAGTGAGGTAAGCACGATGCTTAGGCGAAAAATGATCATATCCCACGTGGTTCGCCATTGGGTATGGCGTTGTCCCCTCATGCTGCTGTCCGACCAGCTCTGTCTCATATATGTCCACGAGGTGACGAGGTGGACGCCTCTCTCGAGTCCCACGCCTCAAAATAGGTTCCTCCGACGGCATTGCATTACCCGCGTCGTGCCGTTGTTCACTATCTTGATGCTCATGATCCTCATTCTCATGATCCTCATGAACCTCACTACTATCATCAAGGCCTTCCTCTTCATCGTGGTCTGCACAAACACTAGTCTGTAGATCCATGGTTTCATCATCTTCAATACAAGGCTCGGTGCACCTTGTCCTCTTCAAGGCTTCATTTGGCGCTTCCTTTTCTCGGAATGGAAACACATTTTCCACGAAATGGACGTCCCTAGAAGAGTAGATCCGCCGAGATTGAAGATCAAAAACACGAAAACCCTTTTGAGCACCTGGATATCCGACAAACACACAAGGTCTCCCCCTCTCGACGAACTTGTCGAGACCATGACGTGTGTCTTTGGCATACACTAAACATCCAAAGCTGCGAAGATGACCATAGGGAGGAGTACGACCCGTAAGCACCTCGTAGGGGGTCTTGTGGTCGAGAACACGAGTCGGCAGCCGATTGATCAGGTAACTTGCTGTGACAACACACTCTCCCCAGAAACGAACAAGGAGTCCGGAGTGGAAACGAAGTGCACGAGCTGTTTCGAGCAGGTGCCGGTGTTTGCGTTCAACCACGCCGTTCTGCTGAGGCGTGTCGACACAGCTGGTTTGGAGATGAATTCCATGAGCTTCATAGTATTCCCGTAGAGTGCGGGTCTGAAACTCCAATCCATTGTCGGCTTGGATCTTGCGGACTTTGGAACTGAACTGAGTTTCGACCATTTGACAGAAAAATCTGACATGACGTTCGACGTCTGACTTGTATTTTAATAAGTAAACCCATGTGGTCCTGCTATAATCGTCCACCACAGTTAAAAAATAATGCGAACCATCCATAGAAGGGGTCCGATAACCACCCCAAATATCCATGTGCACCAATTCGAAACAAGCATGAGTACGAATAGAATGCGTAACAAAAGGCGCTCTGCTCTGCTTAGCACGCAGACAAGAGTCACAATGACGATGTTCAAGATTCAAATCCGAAATCCGTAAAGGGACACGCAAGGAAGACAACTTCGCTGTCGACGGATGCCCCAGACGGGCATGCCAAAGCTCCACAGACTGCTTCCCAGCCGCCGCAAAAATAGAAGGAACTCCTCCACCAGTAGCCTTGAAGTCCTCAATATGGCGGAGATAGTATAGACCGTCACGGAGCTGGCCTAGTCCAATCAAGGCCCTGGAGCGTAAGTCCTGAAGGACACAAACATTGCCCAAAAAGAGTAAAGCGACGTCATTGTCCTTGGTTAAGCGACTAACAGAGAGCAAGTTACAACGGAATTGTGGAACATGTAGCACTCGATCCAGCTTAAGGCGACCATTCAGATTAAGTGTGCCAACCCCTGTCACTGGGATACTCGCACCATTCGGTATTCGAACGGGAGGAAATTGTCCCGTAGCATCTACAGTTTCTAACCAACTCGAATCCCGAACTATATGTTCGTTGCAACCAGAATCTATAATCCAATCATAGGGTTCAGGATTGTTACCAGCCATGTGTGCTGTCGGCTCGTTGTGAGACGGTAGAGGGGCCGAGAAAAACTCCTTGAGTCGTGCAAGCTGATCAGATGAAAAACCTGGGATCGGGCTGTCCTCAGTGTCTACATTGGCTGCACGAGGATGAGATTTTCCTTCTCCCCTTTGTTTGCGAGATCCGCTGAAGCTACGATCTCCCGATCGATCACCACAGCCACCCTGCTTGCCCTTGCGTTGATCCCCAGGATAACCAATGAGCTTGAAGCATGTTTCCTTTGTATGACCCGGTTTGTTACAGTGTGAGCAGCGCGGGCTTTCGTCATCGTCATCGCTTTCCTTATGAGCTTGGAAAGCTGCTGCCTCCATAGGTGGACGTCGCGCCCCCGTGATCTGCCGCTGCTGCTCCTCAGCTGCCACTAGTTGGTAAGCCTCGGCAAGAGTCGGCACAGGCTTCATGCTGAGAATTTGAGTACGCACCACCGAGAAGGCATCATCAAGGCCAAGCAAGAAATCAAACATGTGTTCGGCATCCTCCTTGCTACGCACTTGCTGAGCCACGTCGCATGCACAAGACCCGCATGAGCAACGTGGATTTATGCTAACTGCCTGCAATTCATTCCAGTAAGTGCGCAAGGTAGTATAGAAGGCTGACACGCTAAGCTTGTCCTGCCGAAAGGAGCTTATCTTCCCTCGTAACTCATAAGCGCGCGTGGCAGAGCTGGTGCCGAACCGCTGCTTCAAATCAGCCCAAATATCACATGCCGTCTTCGCACCCCGTACGCTATTCCGTACCTCTTTGCTCATGGCCGTTTTAAGCCATCCCTTGACGGTGGCATCGCAGCGCCCCCATGCTTCATCAAAGATCCCCATGCCAGCCTTGGAACGAGGTAGAGACCCATCGACAAAAGCCATCTTGTTCTTTGCGATTAGGGTTTCAGTCATATCACTAACCCATTCGCTATAATTCAAGTCTGTGAGCAAATCACTTCCGAACAGCTGGCCCGGATTTTCTGACGGATGGAGATAGAGAGGCGACGTGAGAGGTATCACGTCGGCGATCATTGACGTACCGCCCTTACCATTCTTATCATCCTCGCCAGACATTGCGATCTTCTAGGTATGAATCGACTATCGCTCTGATACCATGTAAAATAGAGTGAAACGCGGAAGCACAACACAACGATATACGTGGTTTCCCCGTTCAGAAAGAATGAGACTACTCCACGGTGAGCTGAAGCTCGAGTCAATCTTATTAGCCGCAGCTTATGTGCTGTATACAGCTCTCACTCTCACAAAACCTAGCCGCACCACTTCCCCCTTTTATACTCAACGTGAGCATTAGGGTTAGCATGCACAAATACCAAATGGTCCTCCAAAATAATAATATGTACAAAACTATCACACATTTCTACACCATCACTAGAATTAATTATAATTACACTTTATGATGATAATTAAGCAGTTTTTGGTTTCGTTAGAATGTTGTTGTTAGCCGTTAATTATTAAGTGAAGCGTGTGAGTTTTTTTATTCAAAGTTACGAT